TTGTCATTTGTTGTTTTATTAGACTGATGTGGGACGTTTATTATAGAGTTCATTGACCTGGCTAGTGATTTTAACATAGTTTGAAGAGTAATATTTTCATTTATTCTTTTTAAACTTTCCATAAGTCTGTTTAACAGACTATAAGCTTTGCAATATGTCGCGGAGAACCTAACGGGTAACCCCTCCGGCTCGACGTGCAGGAGAAGGAACGGGGTGGTTTTTAGTCAGTAAGAGTCTGACACTCCCTCCCGCCTCACCCAGGCGGGAGGAGTCATTCGATGATTTTCCCCCCTTAAAAAAAAGCTTTGCAATATAAATACATCGATGAAAATATTTGTCCAAGAAGCATTGCTTAAATACTTGTGTTTCAGTCTTACCTACTAAAAGGAAATAATATTTCATTCAATATCCCAAGGGCCTATAAATATTACTTCGCTATAAAAACTGTACCTCAGAGGAAAATATTTTTACATCTGTTGGCCAAAATATAGCGAGAAATAATAAAAAACTTATAAGGTGAGAAATTTAATCAACATACGTTTCTTTTGGAATAATTATGTAATCTTGATTATTTTCCGCTGTTTCAATTATTAATTAATTATTTATTTTAGAGGTAAACAAGTAATTCATACAATATATTTTTATGTTAACCGGTTTTAAAGTATATAGTCATCAACAATAAGAGTGTGTACCAAAAATCAGATTGATCTGCCTGTCGTCAGGAAGGGGGAGAAATTTCCATTACAAAACATTCAAGCAATAGTCAAATAAAACCGTATAATAATAAAAATTATGTTATTGCAACATTAAATTTATTTATAGACACAAACCTTAAACATCTTTTGTTCAAAAAAGAAATTGGTCAAACGCTTTTAAATTGCCTAGCAATACCTTTATCTAAATTATTTTTTATCTAGGACCTATACCCCAGACCTTTTTATTGATAGAAATATGAGTTTGAAGGCTCTATAGGCTACCTCCCGACCTCTGGGACCCTTCACAACTAGTTACACACTTCCAATAAGTTTCCACTTCACTTCGATTTTGTTATAACTCGTCTTCAATTTGTCTGAAGAAAGTTTTCTTTTCTGTGTATCTGTATAGGATAATGTTGTTGGTAATTTAAATATTTATGATACTACGTCCATGTTCATTAACGTTATGTGGTGTAACTTCATCTTCATTCTTCATTATCATCAATAACGGCCTATAAGTGCCTACTGCTCACCAAAAACCTCTTCTCGCATGGAGAAGGTTTGAGCATTAATCACCAAGCTTGCTCAAGGCAAGATTTCCAAGTTATAATCAGAAATTATAAGCCCAGCCCAGGTTTCCTCATGATATTTTCTTTACCATATGTCATGGGTGTCTAAATAATCTTGAAAAGTGGTGTCGTCTCTGTCTGGTGTACCTTGCATATAACAATAAAAATGTTATTTAAGTAACAGTTAAGTAATACTACTTAACTAATACATCTTATTATTACCATTACATTGACAAATACACATTAACATCCCAAAACCATCATTATTATATTTTACGACTTCCTCCATCACGAACCATCAACATACCTTCACCTACACACACACACACTCACTCACACATCCCTTGCACAGTTTACAACTAAATCTCACTTGAAGGTGTACTTAAACAGCATGTACATGCACATCAAACAATACGTAACCATTATATCAAGGTCTCTCATTATATAATCTTTCAGAACATTTAAAGTTCAGTTTATACTGGTTCCTTTCCTCTTAGTGACCCCCCAAAGACCCCCTTTTATCATAAATATGGCGATAATAACAACAACACGAGCCGTTCCGTCCCAATTAACTTTATGAGTTTGTTTACTGGCCGCCATTACTGTAATGTTCGTCGTCGATACTCTGTTAACGACTGTATTTGCTTAGCTAAGTGACCACGGATATATGTCTTGAAGTCTTCTCTTGGATTCATGGGGCCGTCCCCATTATAGGGGATACTGACAAAATAATATATTTATTCTACTAATAAAAAATAAAATCTTAACACCAAGGCGTCATAGAATTCAGTCGCAACCCGATATGATAAATTCCCATGATAAAGATTTCCATGAAAAACCATAAGTTAACGATCCACTAGAAATTCCAGTAAACAAATATTCCTATTCATGAAAAAATCTCGATCAATTAAACAAGCTAATGGTTTTCAATGACACGACATTAGAACTAATTTAAATATCACCAAAACATCGAATTAAATTACTATATCCACAAACTGAGTTTATCTCTAAATCCCAGTCTACACTGGCTGACTGTCAACATGGAATGTAAATGAAGCAAGTTGTCCGGCTAACGTTGACGTCACACGAGAGTCTAGGTCTAGACTCAGTTGAGGCTAGAACACCAATTCAATTATAAGTGGAAGCCTTATAGTTTGAATCGCGACCGTGTTATATAATTATATACTGTAAATTTTCATATATATGTGCGTATATATGATTGTATATGTGTGCTGGGTTTAATTTCTTGTGTAATCGTCTGTACATTCACTGAAATAGTTAAGGGAAATGCGACATTTACTTGCCGTTTATATTGAATGTCTTTTTTATTCAAACTCGTGAATCAATATCACAAGATCAATCCCTATTGACAGAAAGCGAATGACCGCGAAATTATTCATAACGTTAACAAACGCAACACAAACAACAAATTCATTATTATTTAAATCTTAAAATAACCTATTAATATTCACAAAACGTAAAGTTCAACGGATATTTAATTAAAAAAACGCTGAAGAAAAACCGCGCGCAAGACGCCACCGCCGAGAGCCGCGCGCCGGGAGCCAGGCGCCGGGCGACGCGTCCCACTCGAAAATTATTGAATTTGAATTGTTGAATCGAACTCATTATTCTGTCAGAGACACGAAGCGATCAATTAAAGGTTCTATAGCACCATGTACGACCGCCTTTTTCTTAATGGGAATCATTTATTGGGGAGGCAAGAGCAAATTGAATTGTTGAGACGCCTCGCCATCGGAATTCGTTTATGTTCGATATTGAATGCGGCCCGACATTGTTCGCTGCGGCCCGGTATGGAAATGAGTGGAACTCTTTTGGCGGTCGGAATGCTTAGTGTGCGTGTGAGGTTTGTAAGATGAGCTCCCCTGTATGTGAAGGGTTATTTCATGTTTATAAGACCTCAGAATCTCGCTGCATCGATCACATCATTGGTTAGATTCCAGAACTCCTTTTTTAAAAGCTTTTTTCACAGTTTACAACAACATTTTGGTCTAAAATACGAAAGTATTTTTGTGATTTGTTGTCATGTACATTTTATCTTCCAGTCTACGTGCACCGTGTAGACTTTTAAATAAAAATGTCTCCAGTCCAAATACTCTTTTTACATTTATCTTGAAAACGGCAGACAGTTCTAAGCTTTCAAGAATATCTTGTAAGGAGCTTATGAAAAAACCCATTTCTTGTTACTTTTATATTCAAAGATGTATCCAAACTTTTTTATAGCTACTGTAAAGTATTTCATGTTTATGTTTGTGGTCTGGTATTAGTCGTCATCTTTTGTGGGTAGCTCGAATTTTCTATTAAACTTCAAACATGCAAATTACACAAACCAATAAACACTCACCACGTTCCCGTCACTATATTCTAAACACGGGAACAGACAATACAAAAAATTCTGCCGCCATTTTTTTGCGGAATAGAAAATTGTATGCGAAGCGCTCCTCGCGCCAACGCGTGCGTTCGACGTGAGAATTGTTCAGATTGACGTGAAATGGATTTTTGAATAGCAGCCATGTTAGATCGACCACTCGACCGGATGAAACCGGTTTGAGGCGGTTGAGACCGACCGTAAGCTGTTCGGGATAGTGCAAAATTAAATGTGTTTTCTAATTTAAGAAGAAAACGTCAGAACCATTTTTTCTTAATTTTTTTGCATAAAGAGATTGCTATAGAGGTTTCATTTTCTCATTTAAAATTAATATAGCATGAAACTAGAAATTTCCCGAGTTCTTGTACTTAATGATACCGTGTAACCTCACTCAATATGCTCGACATTTATTTTATTCGACGTAACTTGATGTCATTAAGTTCTCTCGTTATTTCCTCCACTATATTATTACGAGAAATATCTTTTCTAGTTATTTCTTTGTCTTCCACATGTTATAGTTGGAACTTTCGTTTTTATTTGACTTTCGTTCAGAAAATATTCTGTCGTTTCAACAATTTCAGTGGAAGATTACTTAACAAGGTTCTGTAAGGTGAACAAAAGATCTAAAAGTGAACTCGAGCACTTAATCAGGAGTGTAGTAACAAAGGCTTCACTAATTTAAACATAAACCTTACCTACCTACCTATATGCTTACCTGCCTATGTATATACCTGCCTACACACTTACTGTCTCATTCAAGTACTCTGTGGAGTTATGTGATGGACTCAAATTAAACTGATAAGCTTGGGATATTATCAGGTCTGAAAGAAATATGTATGTTTTTTTTTAAATAATAATAATAAATCATGAATTCCTAAAACAAAAAGAAGTACACATCACAATATAATGCCACTTTTAATTATGTTCAATGACCCCTGTGCTAGGAAAACCTGAGTAACAAGCCTCATCCTACCGTCTGTTATATTGTCCGTATACATATAAAAAGTGTAACATGCATTTTAATAGATAAAAACTGAGAATTAACTAAAATAAATGAACGTCGGTTAAGCTAACTAAACAAATATTGGTGCAAGCTTAAAAAGGTAACTAAAAAAAATTGAAAGTCAATTGAGGAAATATATATATACCTCGCTTACTCAGTGTGATGACCATATAACAAATTGACAACCACTGGTGACAATTCCACTTTGGTTTTTACTCTATAGTTCATTTTTATCACCCACCTGAATATGACACAAGATATTCGGGTATGTGTTAAAATACCAGTGTACCTTGTTTCGTTCTTCTTTATTAGACAATTGTCTTACACAAGTCTTCTGGTTGTTACAGGGGCAGTTGGTGGTGATGGTGATGATAGCGACGATAAGGAAAAGGAAGAGGAAGCAGAACGCGAACGGCAAGAAGCCATCCGTGAGGCTGAGGAGAGGCGCAAGGAGAAGCACCGCAAGATGGAGGAGGAGCGCGAGAAGATGCGCCAGGAGATCAGGGATAAGGTACGTCAAAAGATAAGGAACCACGCCCAAACGAATTCAAATTCAGAAGATGTTAGTCCCATACTGGAGTAATTCAGCTAAAATTGAAATGACGTATATCATCGAAAGTCCTCTCATTCGTTAAAAAACTATTTGTTAAATTAAAACCAGCCAACCAGGTCAGGTGTCTGGCATCACCGACATGACGGCCAGCTGTCCATCTCCCGCACAATACGTCAGTGCGCCGTCGCACAAACGACTCGACAATTAATTCAGATCCGCGGAAGTATGTCAAGCGCCCTCCACGGCCCTTCCACACATGTCAGATAATTTGTTCGACGCGTCGAGTGCGCTCCGCCAGCTCTAGTGTGGGATCACCTTTATATTTCTGTTTTTCGGTAATTGACTGGCAAAATTGAGTGCTTTATTTATGTTAATTGGGTTCAATATTTATATAACTCGCCCGTGTTTTATTAAGATGAAAAATCAACGAGGCGAGTCTTTATATTCATTTATAAAATTACGTCAAATTTAAAATATATCTAAGCTACGTAACTAAGACAGATCGCTTGTAAAACAAAGTTATCAAGAACCCCCACTTCATTCTGAAAGCTCCAGAAATAACGCTAAACCACCTCGAAGTGTGTCAAGGATAATTTTACAATGAAAATATCGTCTGCGAAACTCTCAGAAACATAAAAAAGCCGGCAAGTTATCCGGGCTAATTAAAAAATCTCTTTAAGACCGCCTTTATAACATTTAAATTGACCTAAAACCACGTAAAAACTGACATAAATCGTGCTCGGAATAAAATCGCGTCTTCATCTACAAAACAAAAGAGTCGCGGGGCGGGTTTCACTTATTTTTAATTAAAAAATCCTAATAATCCCAACAGACCACGGCATGCGGACCACGACATTTTTATGGGGTTCCGTGGTGCTCCAGTGTGAGGACTGTAATTGAAGATTCCGTTCGCCGCTTTATTAAGGCATTGGGGTAAATAATAGGGGTGATATCGGACGGAATTTAATATAGAATATTATGAATCGTTCGCATTCCTTCGACTGCTGGTGTGAAATACGTGGCGTTGCGCACTTCATCGCCCCGTGCTAGTTTTGTATATCTCAAATATTTCATTGCGAAGTAATAAAACAAATACTGCAGAGGAACAACCAATGAAAGAGATGACTTTTGCATAATACTTAGAATAACATAAAATATATTTACGCTTCTTGTTTTATGACAATAACAATTTTATAGTCAGTCATTGCAGTAAACGTAAAATATTATTGAGATAAGGGATCTTAATGTCGGTACCTAAGTTCAAATTAAAATCCATTAAAATTATGCAGATACCATATTTTTGTACGGAACTCCTAATTTAATGATGTCGTACTTGACCGTTTTTTATTTGGACCGTATTACTTTTCATCCGGCCGGAAGGAGAGAGATAAAAATGTGAAAAATGAAAATGTGGCATGGACATTAAACTAATTATATTCATTAATTTAACGCCTCGTGGTTAGCGTTCAAAATAAACATTTTGGTATTAAGTAACGAGGATTACAACAATTAAGTTTAATTAATTATCCAAAACTCCCATTATATTCGTTAATCCTGGCTTTTTTCTGCAAACATACTAAAAACTGTAGACATCTAAACCGAATACGAGTTGAGTATAGAGGGTGTATGTAAAGCATTATTAATACGAAACAATATAATCTAGGCGCACAATGTTTGCGCTCGAGATTAAAGGGGAGCGATTGGTCGACGTATGGCGTTACGCAAACACCTTGTATAGCTGGCGACGATTTACAAACAACATCATGTATATGTCGGGATTAAGTTGAGAAGGTTCCGTTGTGTTCCTTTTTGAGGGAAATTCAATTTCCGCGGTAGAAAGAAACGCTTAAAATTCATCTGGTATCGAGCTCACACATGAGAGGGTTACCGAGGTACACGCGACAAAAAATGTTCAACGTTTGTGTAAATATTTCTCATCATACATTTATTTACGTTCAATATTTTTGAGCGTATACTTACTTACTTAGTGGTTCAGTTCACAAAGTCTAAAGCTCCATTACACGTAATCATAAAATATTTTAACTTCCTCAAAACTTTTCCATTAATAATTTCACGCATTTTATGCCAAAATAAATAAATAACCACAAACACGTGAAGTGCTTACTGAAAACTATTTTCAGGAGCTTTTAGCGTTCCAAAGCTTTTGAATAAATCCTTAGCTTTAGCTACTTTGTGTTTAAAGTTAGCGGCTGAAATATTTCATGATCTGCTGCTATGAAATGTGATGAAACTGAATTTCAGCTTCTTGCGGAAGAGCCTGTCTGCAAGTACCACTTCAGTATTTATTTATGTTGGCCATATACAATGAATGAAATATATTTATTTTATATGAAGTTCACTGAGTTAGTGCAGATACATTGACTTATTAGTATTGACTGAATATTTTAAAAATGACTAACCTAACCTAACAGGTTTATGTATGACATCTACCTCTATTTTATTACCATAAAATAGAAATAAATGCTTTGACCCTGACTATTATTATACCAACAAAGTTTTAAGAGATCAGCCTTATATTTGTTGCATCTGCAAATATAATAAAGTATACTAACGCAGCAACGCTCCAAAGGACACACAGACATGACAAATACAATTGCATAGAAACAGATTGAATTGTGCAAATGGAATGGCAAACTGTGCCGGTGGCGCCACCTGCCGTCCATTTGCATAATTACTGCACCTTGCTAGACTGCTAGGCTCACGCAAATACTTGACGTACAAACATACATGAGTATACAGTGGCATGTAGATATAAATATGCTAATATTTAGAATTCCGTATCGTCCGAATATTATTATGCTATTGATGCTAGATAGGTATGTTCACATACCAATATATTTCAATAAATTTATTTGCATTATTTCAAAAAATGCAAATAAATTATCTTTATCTTTATCAATTCGATAATTCAAATAATGTTAGGTCCAACTTCAAAAATAAATTTTGTAGCAGGCTTCGAAATTTTCACGCCTGTTTCAAACCTCCAGAGTATAATACATTCCAACTGCACCATAAAAGAGTACAGCAACCACCTAACTCCACTTAACCTCCATATATGCACTACTCACATTTTTCCATAAAAATAAGTACCACTAACGCCCCCCCTCCCCTCTAACTCGCCTGTAACCGGTATAAAGACGGAGTGGCACTTTCCGCGTAATTTGCCGCGCCAGCCATTGTGCAGCTCTCGCGTCAAATTATGGGCAATTTACGCGCGTAAAAAGCCCAGAAACCACCGCAAGGAAAGTGACTTCAATTAGAAAGAACTAGATCGGAATTCGATCCGAGAAAATCATTGGCTGTAAAATCTTCCAGTCGTTGCGTTTACTATCCCCTGACTTGGAGAATTTAACTGAAGTAGGTTACTGCACGATACGGTTTTTAAATTCGTATTTATTTACATTTAAATTTGAGTGACGCTATTTAGTCATCCGGTTTCTCATAACTGAACATCTGGTCTTATCATTTGTACGTCTGATTTCAAACCATAAAATCGTACTACTGGACTGCTGCAGGAAAACATTATTATTCGGAACATTTGTCACCAGTCTCCACTTACCGAAGCTCCTCCTACTCCTGGTTCCCTGTCACAACAAACCGGTATCTCTCGCAAATATCTACACAGGCTATAATAATTGGCAACACTTTAAAACTGTAACACTTACATTACTCGCCGGGTTGGACTATTAGGTGAGCCATTATGGCACCGCCCGCTCCACCGAAGTGTTCCAACGCTTTCCATCGCTAATAAAATTTGTACCCTAAATGGCTCCGTCAAAGGACCCTCCGTAATTTCAAGTTGGATGCCGAGGAGTCGCAGACAAAAGCGGTAGCGATTTCTTAGTTCAGCGTGAATCGCTTCCTCTTATGATAGGATCCGACATCTATAATTTTAGATGTAGGTATCTTGAATTGTATTATACTGAAAGTGAACACACAGGTTATAGTCGCAGTATTTATAATATCAAGCTGGCCTAATTTCGAGTCTCATAATAATATTATTAAGTCAAAGTAATGCGACGTTGCCACGTGCATCTTGTATTGTAACTGTTTAAAAATATTTATAAAGAAACACGATTCTTATTTCAGTTATGGTTGAAAATGAAACCAAATTGAGGAAAATGAATGTTTAGAAACCGTTGTAGGTTGAGACAAAGAGTTGTAACGCGATACATTTCCCTCGCGACACCGAGACCTTCGCTGCGTCCAAACAAATCATGTTGATGCTGTTTGAATACCGTAGCGTTGAGGAAAGCGGGATGTCCCTTTGTTATTTTACTATACAATATTCTAAATGATAAGGAAAACTATTTTATCACCATGCCTTGACCAGATCACCATCTTAGTTACAAATATGTATAAACCAGATTTTCGATCATAATTTGACACAACTTGATAGATAATCTTATTTTAAATGCTGATTATATTTCTCACTCCAAAATGCAACTCTTTTTATTGTATATATTTAAAAGTAAATGTTTGTTAATGTTCACGTGAAATCGAGTCGATAATAACTTTTGAAAATGAAACATCGATTTCAAATCAAGGAAACGTTTCCAATAACCGTGCAACACAATGAGAGGCATCATTCGTTGTTATAATAATGTGTGAAGAACCTCACCCTTCTAATTAAACGGAACATTCTTAAAAGGACAATAAAAACCTTGGATTCGTATTCCCCCATCGGCTTTTAATAAAAGCACTTATTCCAGTGGCCGTACTATTAACATTACATTCCCTCTCGGAGGTCCACCCTGCCGCCCTACCCCGCCTGACCCTACAATTAAAACTTGCAGTTGGGAAACTTTTACGCGAGTTGTCGCAACTTCTAGCGAATGTTCGCGTGAACGTGACGGAGCGACGGACTTTGATGACGAGCCCTTAATTAAGTGAAGCTAAACTCCGCTCGGATTATGAACGCCTGGTACCTTGATCTC